CCCCCCCCCCCCCCCCCCCCCCCCCCCCCCGGCAGTCTCTAATGTTGCAGTAACGCGCTGGACTCTGGACTTACCTGAGACCCTACAGAGCACACCATAGATCCTGAATAGCCCACCTGAGAGTCTCTATGATGGGCTCTGCAGGGTCCCAGGTGGGCTGGTCATCGGACCTCACTGGGCCCCCCACAGCATCAGGCCCTGGTGAAGTAGTTCCGCCCCTGTATACAATGCTATGATCTGATTTATTTAATCTCATATGCTAGCACAGTGAGAAAGCTACCAGGCGACAGTGAACCAATAGAAGTTAAGCTCTTTTGACTTCCATAATCCAATTTTGTAAAAGCAAATATATATATATATTTTTAAATGTTCCTTGCATGTTATTGGGCATTCTTTGCAAAATTAAGTTATACCACATTCACGTATGGAAAATTCCCTTGTAAAGTGGAAAGCCTATTTGCCATTAGTAAATTAACACCATTGCATGGCCAGTTGTTGGCAAGACGGTGTACTATAACATATTAAAATATAATCAAAGTTGTGCAGATATAAAATACACAGTTTCACCCATCGGCAGATTAATTAAAGAATGATTAAATGTGTTTTCATATATAGTTGTAAAACATACCCTTGTTTGTCATTACATAATTTTCCTGTAATTCTCTGTACATCATTACTCATGCTTGAAGAGGGAGAAGCGGTGCTGAAACTTCTCTTGCATTGCACAGTGCTGTCTCTGTATTACCCTGGAAGCTTTCTGAGAGGAGGAGAAAGCAGAATGATGAAATTGGTATGCTGCTACTCTTTCACTGTCCACTCCCAGCCTAGGGTGAGGCCTAGACGCACCCTAGTTATGTTGTATTGGTCAACTGTAGTGTAGATTGAACAGAGGTCTTGAGGAGTGCATGGTGTGGCTATGCTGTCTGGCAGAGGTGTGTGAACCACAAGACTTGCTGCACAGGATGGCAAATTCTTTGGCAGATTTGACAGTTTACATGTATAATTCAACTCTGTAGTAAACTGTTTGCCTGAAGTTCAGCTACATTATATCTAGCTGATCTGCAGTACAATGATCTTGCTCCTTATGAGACAGATTCACTATGAAGTAAAGCAGCTGCTTGTTTAGGAGTGGTTTTCAAAAATTACACGGTCTATGTGGGACATTCTGCCTAATCCTTCTTTAAAAATAAGCATTAAATAGACCGATGTGGCTATGTAAATGATCTACCATACAATAATGGGATGAAAAATAATATACATGTGTTAAGTTTATTAGGTGACAAAAAAAATTTGTATTTTTCCAATAAAGGAACGATCATCAGACGCCATCGAATTCCACTTCCACCTCCAAACGATGACCAGTTTTATACGGTGGATCATTTTAACATCAACAAAGATATTGTGTTCTATTCAAGAACCTTCAGAATTGTAAGCTGTGATGAATTCACCAGAAACTTTTTAAAGAAACTTGGCATCAGAATAAATCCACCAGACTCTACTCCCCCAGACCCATACTCCACAATGCGTAAACAGGTAAAGATCTCTGCCTTTCCTTGTATTAATGGTTAAAGGTCTTAGAGCAAGCAGAATTCCTATCTTGTTTAGCTTTGGTGCACATAGTAAAAGATACACCTGAGTGGAACTGTACTTCCAAATCACATTTAAACAAGATTGTAACTGTAATCCTGGTAATTACATCTTCCAGCATCCTTTTTTTTTTAAAGAGAGCACTGTGTTCCTTTATTATCTCTTTTAACCTACCTTTGTGTCAATGTGCATGCACTTACTCTTACCCTGCCCTGCCCCAATCAGTGGCGGCATGCGCATTTCCTGTCCTGCAGCTACATGTCACAAAGTGGAGAATGCCCCTGCAACAACTGCTGCCACTGAATGGGCCAGGAGGGAGTAGGAGTGGCAATTTTCTATGATGTACAGAGGGCAGGCATCTGTTAGGAAAGTACTAGTTGCTAGTATTAGACATGGCTTTGGCATCCGATTATTTTGACATCAGTCATCAAGAATGATAACGCAAAGAGATCAGAGGCACTTGTTGAATAAACTCACGAAAGAGCACAGATTAGACATGTGCGATTCGTTTCACTCCGAGTCGAAATTCGGACGAAATTTCGGAGATTCGTATGTATCTGAATTACAGATATAATGAATGCAAACGAATCCGAATTTCCGATTCGTGTTTTTTGGACGAAATTTTGTTGCAGCAAAGTGACATTTGAGAACAAAAAAACTTTTTTTTCCTCTTAAATGTCACTTTGCTGCCTCAAACGAAAACAAGACGAAATTTCGTACGGATTACCGCTAACGAATTTGGTCCAAATCCGAATTCCGAAACAAATTGACTTTCGGACCCGAATTCCGAAAAACAAAATAAAGCAAAACCCAAATCAAAACGAAACAATTTTTTTTACTGGTGCACATGTCTAGCACAGATTATTAATTCAGCACCAAATCAAATCGGAACCAAAAGGTATATAAAAGTGACTAAACTCAGGAGTTCAATCCTAATAATGCTTTCAATTACTTTTAAAGGAGAACTATGAGGTGAGTGATTTTCACTGAACCTCATAGTTCGACCCGACGTGTGACAATGAAACTGTCACACGTTGGCTCAATAGATCGGGAAGTGAGCGAACACATACTTCTCCATCATGTCCCTGCAGAGAGCCGTGACTGTCACTTACGGCTCCCTGCAGGGATTACAACACACACACACGGAAAATGGGGAACAAAAGTAGCCACCCTCCAGAAGGAAGGACAGTGTCAGCAACAATTCAGAGATGATTTGAGGATCTACAGCTAATGTACAGTTTTGTTAATAGTTAAGGTACTTGAGTGCATTTTTAAGATTTAACTACTGAGTTTAGTGTCACTTTAATTTATACCTCTACCCACGGTCATCAACAATGACTTAAACAATTATTAACCAGTTGCCGTCCGCCCATAGAAAAAATACGGATGGACGGCTGACTCGCATCAGCGGGTTGCCGTCTCCAGACGGCATTTTTTCCTGATAGCACGCGCCCCCTAGCGCGCGCACGGGCAGGTAAGACCCGCTCGTTTTTACAGTTAACGGCTGTTTCTCATACAACCGATCAGCGGCTCTATAGCCGCGGATCGGTTGTATGACGTGATTTTTTACAATTGGGTAATAATAAATGTTTTAGAATTTATTATTAGTGGAAACAGTTTTTTTTTCAATTTTCTGTAATTTTCCCTTAATATATTAAAAAATTAAAAACCCAAGTGGTGATTAAATAACACCAAAACAAAGCTCTATCTGTCCCCAGAAAAGGGTATAAAATTCATTTCAGTACAGCGTTGCATGACGGAATAAATGTCAGTCAAAGTACTGCAGTGCTGAATACTGAAAAATGGCCTGGATGGGTAGGGGGTTTAACACCCCCCAGACTTCAAGTGGTTAAATAAAACAATAAATAAAGAAGAACGTCTGGAAAAATAACAGGCAAAGACAATAAAAGTGTTTTTCTGCAACTAAGAACTATTATCTTTTATGTAACTGCTATGGCTAAGGTATCAAATGCTTCTGAGTATATGGATGCCAGATCAGATGACTACAGAACAGATGGCGGGATTTTTATACTTAGATGGAGACTTGCTATAACTACAGTGTGTAATTAACAAACCCCACTAAGCACTGTTTGCACCTAAAGTGACCACATAACATAACCTCAAGGACAGAAGTGGACAAAATGAACAAGAAAGGGTTTTGCAGTTATCTAGGCCATGCCCCCCAACTTTCCAAAATGAGAAAGGGGGAAACCTTTTAATACACAGTATATAGGCAAAGGAAACACCACTAATATGCTCACAGATTGTACAGAATGAATACACATAAAAATGATTGGTTAACCCACAAGTGATTTTGTTCACCACCTAGAGTGTTTTATACTGGCCTTTGAAAATAGCAAATGCAAACACATAGAGGTTGGCTGAAAGGTTTAGTGCAGTATAATCCGTTTGAAAGAAAAACATAACATTAGCAGATCTATTCAGTAAAGGGTGAAGAGTTTGGAGAAGGCAGGAAAAGTGAACAATCTAAGACAAGATAGTTGTTTTGGAAAAATTCCCCAATTCAGCTCACTTTCCAGCTCAGCTATTTTGTTGTCCTAGATCAGTGATGGTTAATGTTTTTGAGCCTGAGTGCCCAAACTGCAACACAAAATCTATTTATGTACCTCAATGTGCCAACACTGAAAGCAAGAACTTTTTTTATCAGTTTTTTTTTTTAACTTTTAAAAAATTGTATTTATATTATTATCTTTTACCTTTTTATTTTTTATAATTTTTATTGATTTTATTATTTAGTTTTTATTTTGTTTATTTAGATTTTTGCTATCTTACAGGGGGCTAATAAGCCCCTGTGTAATAGCATTTGGAGGTGACAAGTTCTCTTTATGGATCCTGTCACCTCCAATACAGGAGTTTTAACAAAGCACTGTGCTGGCTCTCCGGTTGACCGCTGAGACAGGAAGGCTATCAGTACAACATTCCTGTTTCACTGTTTAGATGGAGCAAATCGGAGAACAGTTGTTCTCCGCTTTGCTTCCCACTCTGCATCCTGAACTGATCTGCCTTGGTCCTGGGTCCCCCAGGAGAGTGGGGGACCCTGAAAACCACGTCAGTAAGAGAGGCGGCCAGTGGGGAGAGAGGCACCCACTGGTGGGGGCGGACCATGGGGGGGCGGTGGGTGGGATGGACCAGCAGCCTTATTACAAGTGATCTGGGCAGCATCACCGAGATCACTTTTACTAAACGAGTGGCGGCGTCCTCGCTGTATATTTAGCCTGGCTTGCCAAGAGCAGAGCTTAATATAGAAAAAAGATACCCACACGGCACCCAGGACTGCATGTTCCGGGCGTCAGGCAATACAAATTCGATACTCCTGCCTAGGCTCACATGCCACCAGAGGGGCCTCTGCATTCCCTTTAGGGCACGCATGCCATAGGTTTGTCATTGCTGTCCTAGGTTGTTCACTTCTCCTGCCTTCTCCAAACCTTTCACCCTTTAGTGAATAGACCTGTAGATGTCTATACATCAGACCAAATATAGATGTAGATGCATAAAAATATGGAGGTCTTACTTCAGAGCAAAAAGAGGGACAGGAGTATTGGGTTTCCAAAAGAGGGCCAGTCCCCCCAACATGGCTGTAATACCAGAAGCCCTGGTTTCCATGTAATCACCTACTCAAGCAAGTTCTCTGTATATGCCTCTATAGAGAGACCACCAGAACATACAGGACACATGAATCTTTCATCATACGCTGTCATGTTAATTACCTATGTAGAGAATTCACCTATGTAGAGAATTCAGGGACATCTGAAGCTCAGTTGAAATGTTTAGGTAGCCCATTTCGTGTTGATCCATTGTGGAGAGAAATTTCCTAGTTTATGTTAAAAAAGTTTGAATTTTGATTAGAATTGATCTGTATTCTTGCAGAATTATATTTTTATTACCTGTTAATATTTAAGTTTCATATTAATATGTTTCTCTTGTTGTTTGTAGATGGAAGATAGTTTGAAGCCTCTGCGTCCTTATGAGCGCATGGACACACTGAGACAGTTCCTGGAACATGACAGGCATGTTCTAAGGTTTTACTGCCTATGGGATGACACTCCAACCCCTTTTGGAGACAAAAGAGAGCTCATCTTACATTATTTCCTTGCGGATGACACTATTGAAATCATAGAAGTCATACCACCAAATTCTGGCCGAGATGCTGTTCCAGTCTTTCTCCACCGAGGAAAACTTCCCAAGGTAAAAAATGGCGTAAATAGTTTAAAATATATGCTAACTCAATAACACAAATGTATTATATTATCAGTCGTTAGATGTGGTGGTTTTATTTATTTTTTCAGGCTATTTTACCTTTATTTTCACCTAATGATTCTGCCAGTAATACATTCTGCCCCAAGGTCACAAAACTCACTCACTCACTCACTCACTCACTCACTCACTTATTCACTCACTCTCTGTATTGTATTTATGGAGGATCAGTATTGTCACCCTAGGACATGGAGTGTGTTAGGACTAAGGAACGATTCCCCATCTTCTTATGTCCATACCATAAGAGTTCACAGAGATATACTGGGCAAGGCTGATAAGAGTCCTTGGGATTTTAGTGAAGTACATGCACGGTGTTAAAATCTTACAGCAGGAGCTCTCCAGATTGCTAGCAGATCGTAGGGTAGTTTTGGCACTTAATGAACAGATTTAAGAAATTAAATGTACAGTCTTAACTGTACATATAACAGGTCAATATGGAAGAAAAAAAGTTGGTTGTCAGGGTTTACATGCACTTAAACGTGGAACTCAACCTCCTATCCCTTACAGCTATTTCACCCTCTATTTGGATTGCAAGTGCCATGGTGCTGCAAAGGTGATCAGCTATGAGACCAGCCATTTGAGGGCTTGAAAGTTTACTTGAGAGAGGAAATAAGCAAACCGACAACCTTGATAGTTGCCATGCCTTTAAAGTTACTGTTTTCGTAGACAGGGAAATGTATGGGTCTAGTTCTGCTTTAACTTCCCTCTCTATAACCATTATTTGTAAACATTATTGTCAGGATAAGCCACAAGCACAAATATTAATGGGACATACAGCAAGTATCTTCTGTTTGCAGTAATGTCAGTTACTATGCTCGCTTCTCATATATGTTATGGTGGGATACATTTCTGTAATCACACTGTGATACCTTGGTAAAAAAAACGTACGAGGACTTGAGCTTTTTATGCTATTAGATACTAGAACTGCAGATTAGGGGTTTGATTTACTAATGGTAAATAGGCTGTTCACTTTGCAAGGGAATTTTCTCTTAGCTTAGTGAATGTGGTTAAAAAATAACTTAGCAAAAAATACCCAATCATGTGCAAGGGAAAAAAACTGTATTTTTGCTTGCATATGATTGCATGATGGAAACCAGCAGAGCTTCACCTCATTCACTAAGCTAAGGAAAAATTCACTTGCAAAGTAAACAGCTTATTTGTCTTTAGTAAATCAACCGCAGAATGTCACTCACTCACCATTTCAAATATAATTAGCGGTGCAGCTCCAATATGGCATCTCTTGGCTGCTGTAGAGGTGTACATGTGTGCATAAGGGTTGTTATTCAGTGCTTTTGATACATCAGGGTCAGTCATTTATTTTTGGTGAGCTCTACACATACTGTAACTTTATACATATTGTACTTTCCAAAGTAAATCTTTCAAATTGATGCAAGGGATTGTAATATATTCAAATAAAGTATCCATAAGAGAAATATGGGGACACCCTGACCTCTTTCAGAAAATGATAGCTGCCTATCAGTCAGAAAGAGGTCAGGGTGTCCCCATATTACAGGTATTTTCCACCCATGTTTTTTCTCTTTTTTGTGAGTTGTATACTCCAGGAGCATGGAGTTAAGGGCCTTCCAGTTTTCCCAGATCCACTATTCGACCCTTGTGTGTCTACTTCTATTTCCAATAGCTCATACTTACTCAAATGATCATTGCTGGCTCTTTTTTCATACACCGTTCTATTCTGTATTGTAATAGTTTATCCTCTTACTCTCATTCTAGATGTTTTGTAATACTATGTACCTGTTTGTAGACCTGGTTTATTGTTTCTACATTTAATAAACTTTCCTTTTGGGAAAAAAAGAAGCTGATGTTTAAAACTGCATTGTTGCCTAGGGCGGGTTCTTTACATGTACATCCTATGCAGTCATAGTACATGGAAAGGTATTTAGGTGTGAATAAGGCTTAAAGCAGTCGTACTGCATTGATTAACCATGTCTGTCCACATTGTTTTACAGAATGCCCCAACGAAAATGTATAACCCCGGTGAGATCACTGCACGCACTGTCCTCAACGTTTTTGGTCCAATGGGACATGGAGGTCGCCATATTCTGGATAATCTTAAAGTATGATGTTAAAACTTCTATGGCTGATTGTAATATAATTTAAATGGGAAGTTTCGCTTGGAATTCAGTAACAAGTCATAATTCCAAGCCGCAATCCAATATTTTCATACATTTTTAATTCCTTTTTTTTTTATTTTTTTATTGCCTATAGACTTATTCCTAACATTGAACACATTTGCTGTAAGAATTAGCAAATAGGCCAAGTGCAAGCTAATGTATTCTTTAGCAACACACTAAAAAGTGTATTATAAGGCACAAGGGTTTGGAATTAAATGAAGATGTTAAAAAAAATGTGTTAATTATGGTTTGAGCAAATGAAGGGAAAATCTATCCTATTCTTAGTTACGCTGTTTGCAAAGTGTTCACAGGCAGAGCAAACCACATTTATGCTCTGCAACTTATAGTTGAATCTGATGGCTTGTTTTTGAGTGTTTACTGATTACAGGTCATAAAATACTAACATTAATTTTGCAGACAGGGGCTGTGCACCAAGACTTTTACAAAGACTGTGATCTGACAACTGGAGCTGCAGTCAATGCTTGGGGACGTACGATAATTCTATGTGATTGTGATGAATTTACAAAGAACTACTACAGAACAAAATATGGTATTGGTAAGGCAGCTAATTTTTCCCTTAATTTTTTTACCAAGCAACTGGAAGCTGTAATGATACATTGCAGTGTTTATTATCTCGGCATGCAGCATATTAATAAACATAATTCAGCAAAGCATATCACATTAAAATGATAGATGTTGGAATAATTCTTTTAGAAATAAAAGGACCTTGGGACAGGGGCATTTGGCAGCTAAATGTATTATGTACAAGTTTATGTCCAGACACCCAGCAATGAAAGCTAAAAATCAGTTACCAACAGCGTAATATTTTGTAATAAATATATTTTAGGTGGGTTCATTGTTAAATTACTCCATAATTCATATAGAAAGCCGGTGTATTTCTGGCAGGACATTTTTTGTTGGCCTAAGGTTATGCTGCCACTATGTTAACCTTAAAAGCAGTAATTAAACAGTTGCCCTCTTTTTTCAAAAGTAGGGCTTTAGGCCTCATTAACACAGGGTAGAGTGGGGCCGTACAGATCTGTGCGGCATGCACGGCTGTATTGGCCCGTTCCCTATTCACAATAACCTGCACAGCAGCCGAAGGGCTCAGCTGAGCCGAACACTTATGCTTCGGCTCGGCTGAGCTGAAGTCACAGCCGAAGCGAGGAGAGCGGTCTGCCGAAGCAGATGTCAACAACTGGGCAGAGCCAGCTGTGATGTTACACCTGGCTCCGCCCAGTTGTTGTCGTTCAATGACATCCCAGTGTCCTCAGGTCATGTGAGGACACTGGGCTGTCACTGAATGACAACAACTGGGCGGAGCCAGCCGTGACATCATGAATGGCTCCGCCCATTTGTTTTGATTTGGCCAACCTATATGACAGGTGCCTGCCAAATTAAAACAAATAGGCCATCACCTGTCATACAGGTCATTTTGCGGGGTGTGTTTTCCAGGTGCGGACGGGTCGGTGGGCGTCAGGCTTTTTTTATTTTGGTGAGTCGTTGTTGTCGTTGACAACGCTGAATGCCTTGATTGACGTGGATCAATTATTTTACTTTTTTTTTTTTGTACAATTAAAGGACTTTTTCCAAAGTCTGGTCTTTTTATTTACATTTAACCTTTTAGTAAATGAGTAGGGTTACAAGTACCCCATACTCATTCACAAGTTGGGGGCAGCATCTGGGTGTCCCTAATTAAAGTGGTACCTTAATGCAAATAAGCCCCCTGCCCGCAGACATCGGCATGGGGTCTC